GCCCGCGTCTCGGCCGGCGCCGCCGCGGCCTCCCGGGGCCAGCGGGGCCCGCGGCAGCCCCCGCAGGAGCCGGCGGCCAGGGCCAGGTCGGCCAAGGGCGAGCCCAGCAAGAGGCAGGGGTCCGGTGCCCACGGTACCCCCCGGGCCCAGGAGTAGGCGGCGAGGAGACGGCGTGGGCCGACCGGCCGGAAAGGCCTGAGCCCGGTGGCAGCGGGCGGGCGCCGGCCGGCTCTTTCCCCCGTGCCCTATGGAGGGGAAGGGGCAGCCGAAAGCGGAGCCCTGCACGCACCTCCCACCCACCGGCAGCCAGGGAGGATTCCTCTGCCCGAAATAGCTGGGCCGGGGACGTTACCGGCAATGCTGCGGGACAGGGGAGCATCCAGCACCCGCGCTGTGAAGGGGACAGGTTCTGAGCGCCTGTCCGGAGCTTGCAAGGAAAGAGAGATAGATCTCATTTTGAAGTGAGATCTTCCTCCTGCTGCTGCCCTCAGAGCGGGCGCCGGGTTGCTTTCCCTGGCTGGGGTGCTGGGAGGTGGCATGCAGCAGCACCAGGCTGTGCCGCACGAGACTTGGCACCGTGGGATGAGCTCAGCCTGGCCTCCAGCCCGGACCATCACCGGCACCAGGCACTGGAGAGGGCCCAGGACATCACCAGGAAGGTTCCCCAGAATGCAGGCAGCTGAACGAGGTCGATCCTGTGGGTGACGGAGGGACCCCCTTCCACAAGGACAGTGCTGCTGTGCTGGCCAGGCCCTATCCCACACTCCCCTGTGCAGCAATTTGGCTGTCTCCAACGTGGATTTCTTCCTCATCTCGTTCGCATGCAGGACTTGGACAAGGCAGCTGGACAAGGGCCGAGATTGGCAGTCCTGCTGGACACCCCCTGGCTCCTCCACCACTGCAGCCAGGCTCCATGTGCTGCTGGAGCAGGGCTGCATCCTGTGCCCCCTGCACAGGGCTCTCCTTGGCACCAGCATTTTGGTTCTCAGTCAGATCCACAGTCAGGTCTGGGTTTGCTGCTAAGGGCTGAGCAGCCCCCAGTCCTCCCCCATTGCCTCCCATCCTTGCCAGCACAGCGGCCATACAGAGCTGCCTTGCCCCATTTCCAACCAAACTGTCAGCTTTACAATCCCCTCCCTGGGTGTTGTGAAACACCATTAGGAGGGGAAGGCTCTGGCGGCCAGGCAGGGCAAAGGTCTTTCTGCTCTGGTGCTGCCGGACCTGTGCTGCTCAGGGCAAGCCAAAGGGCAGGTTTCACCCTGGCATGTGGGCTGCCAGCCTGGCTGGCCCAGCCGGGACTCGGCCCCTGCCTGCAGCCAGCGCCCTGCCCGGCTGGTGGGCAGCAGCCTCCCACAGGACCCTCCCTGCCTCCGCGGCTGGCATGGGCAGGAGGGAGCTGCAGGGTGAGGTCAGACCTGGTTTCCTTCCAATTCAGTTTGAAACCTCTTGAAAGATATCACCCTCATAGACTAGGGAGACTTGGCTAGCCCATACCCACCCTCAATGTGCCCGTGCAGTCAGAGCTGTCTATTTTTGTAGTTCAATATTTATATACTGTATTAAAATGCTTTATGAGATTCACAGCAGCAGTCGCCAAGCCAGCTCTTTGGTAAAAGAGCCCCAAAGCATATGAGCTGCACTAGCAGGGCAGAAATTAGCTGCTTTTTGTACCTTTCCTTTGGCTGTTATGTTACTTGTCAGACTTTAGAGGGCAAGACCTCTCCTGCTCTCCCAGGGCACTCCTGCGGGTTGGGACTCCCAGCTGCTCCCGTGGTCCCTAACACACCTCTGGGTTTGGGAAAGAGCCCAGCAAAGCCACGCTGGGCAGGGTCCCCCTTACAGTGCTCCTGCAGCAGCCTGGCTTGAAGCCAAGCCAAGGTGTGCAGCTCCTGTGGCACAAAAGCTCTAGTGGGAAATTTTTGCAGTCCCTGAGGTATCTGGAGCTGCTGCCTCAGAAGTCCAGGGCCCCCACGAGCCCCCAGCTGTCCTCCCAGACTGTGCCAGCCCTGGGAGGCTGCAGGGAGCCCCAGCAGGGTGCTCACAGACGTGGCTGCAGAGCTCCACATGCCCAGGTTGTCTGTGGAGGTTCGGCAGGTGCAGGGCAGCACAGGGGGCTCTGGTAATGCCTGGCTAGGCTCTGAGCACTGGGAACAGTGCATGAGGGAGATACGTCCTGAGCTCCCCAGCAGAATGCTTCCTGCCTGTTTCCCTTGGCACAGTCAGGCTCTGCCAAGCCCCAGCTCCAGGGGGAGCTGGGTGTGCTGGGCCCTGCTGTCACCCACCCACGGAGGCAGCAATGGGAGGTTTGTCCAGTGTTGTCCACGAGCAGCCCCAGGGCTCCAGCATCACAATTCCAGGAGTGTCATGCCCGTGAGGTGCGACCAACCTCTGGAAATTGCTGTTTCTCTCAGGTTCTGAGAGGTTCTGCTTGCGGATTTGTCTCTGCTCTGTTAGGATGAAAGAGGCAATGCCTGTCCTTGTGTGCTTGGCTGTTGCTGCAGCTGTGGTGTGCACAGCTGTTTCCCATCCTTCCCAGACAATCCTGATAGACACAGTATGTTGCATTTTTATTACAAACTCCTTCATGAGATCATGGTGTTTATGACTGACCTGAGCATTGAAAAGTGGAGGGAGAAGTATGATCCTTCTCCTAGGTAAATACCTTCCTAGCAATCATCATCCGTAGTGCCTAGTATGTAAATGAAGCAACTCTGTCTGAGCTTCAGGGCCCTTTCCTCTCCACCAGTAATTAGCAGCTTGCTCAATGAGTTGATCTCATTCCCAGTCCCCCATGCCTGTCCCACCCCAGGTGCTCCTGGTGCAGGCAGGCAGCCGGGCAGGTCTGGAGCCCCAGGCTGAGCAGGCAGAGCCTCTTGCAGCCAAGGGGGTTCCCAGAGGGATGGAGAGTGAGCACCCCAGTTCCCCCTTCATGCCAATGTAATGTGCTTGGAAATGAGTCGTCAGGGTGAGCCCTGCACTTTTCCTTGGGCACATTTGCCTTGGAGCAGGAAGGATCAGCTCCTGCGTGCTGTACCTGCTTCAGTCACTGCTGCTTTTCTGGGGGGGGAGGGAAGCTCTAGAGATACTATATATACACTTACATATATATATATATATATATACACACACACATACATGCACTTGTTTTGAAGGGAAAACACTGTATGATTGTAATAGAAATAATGTTGAGATAAACTATTTTAATCTTTGTATTTATATAAAATGATCAAAGAGATCAAAATGATAAAAAAAAATCAAAAAGACAGTATTCCTATTTTTTACTGAGAAGGCTGCTGGAGCCACTGGGAGCCTGAGAGCCGCTGGGGCCCAGGCAGGGCCTGCCCTCCCCTCCTGGAGTGGGGAGCTGTCACAGGCTCCCCTCTTGCACTGTAAGCTAGCCCTTAGCCCAAAAGGTGTAACAGGGATCTGTGGGTGCGTTTAGTCTGTGCTCTGCGCTCCTCGGGAATCCAAAGGGCGCACACAGCTCCTACCTGACAGCACAGACAGGAGTGCAACTGCCAGCACCAACGTGCTCAGGATGGAACAGGCAGTGTTTGATGTTGACTTGTAAAGCTTAATGATTAGACTGGAAATGGAAGCATAGCAATAACGCTCGGTTGTTAAACAACGTCTTGTGTGTGTAAACCACCACGTGCTGAGAGTCTGTCTACAGACTAACAGCCGGGCTCCTCTCCTCTGCACCTCCTTTCACTCTGTAGCTCTGCAGAGGCTTATGGATGTCATGTGTTTGGTTTGCTAATATCTCTTCCTATTATCATTATTATTATTATTATTATTATTATTATTATTATTATTTTCCCTAATGCTATCTAAGAAAGTGATGTCTCAAATGCACCTTGCAGCAGGTGTGAGGTGAGCAGTGGATGGGGGAAGATGCACCCGCTGCACTCACTGTGGCAGAGACAGTCCTGGCAATGAGGCGTTTTCCTTCTTGACCCCGTTAACTAAAAAGCCATATTTTCTGAATGTGTTTGCTGGGGCTAATTTAAGCGCTCCCAGCCATGTCCTTCCCATCCCCACTAGGTTCTCAACCTTCCCGCTGCTGCATGGCTTTGTGCTGAGACAGTCTGAACTGGGGCCAGGCCCTGCTGCTTCCCAGGGGGAAGCTTTCTGTGAATTGCAAGCAAAGGCAGGTTCATGGCTCAGCTGATGGGTGCTCTGGAGGGACTGAGGGCGGCTCTTTCCTGGCTGCGCAGGAGAGGTGGCAGTGACACAGCTAGAAACTTCATCCTGCCTGAAGCAGCTGGGGCCAGCAGTGTGAAGGGATTGCTCTGCTTTTCCCAAGTTCTCCCCAAGCTCTCCACACTAGGAAGGTAAATCAGCAGCACAAGGGACTTAAATTTTTGGGGGTTAGGTGAACCTTTCAGAGTCCTTGTGTACAGCCTTGTGAACTAGCTCCTGCTGCCCCAAGGAAGCCACACCATCCTTCCTTTTTCCTAGAACACCAGCCCTCATGTCCCAGCAGCCCTGATGAGCCAGTCTAGCTGTGGTGACTCCTTGGTGCACACCTGTTCTTGTCACCCTCTTGCACTGTCAGCACCTGGCTGCCAAGTCCTACAGGGAGTGCAACAGGGTGGGAGAGAACTCCCTTAAGCCTCTGGGTTGCCTCATGCAGGCATCCAAGATCTGTAGATAAGACCAGCAGTGCTGGAGTGCTGGGCTGGGTGAGCAGGAGGAGCTCAGGATCGATGAGCACAGCAGCTGTGGAGCCAGCAGACACCACGGCCTGTTAAAGCACAAGGATCAAAGCACCATGTCCCCTCACCGTCAGAGCTGCCCTTTGCTCCCCAGGGACAGCAGAAATTGCTTCTGTGTCCTCCTTGCCAGCTCTGGCCCTGCAGGGACACTACTGTCCCAGCCCCATGAAGGGATGGACAGGACATGGAGGGTGACACTCGGTACTGCCACCACATCTGATTCCTTCATCCCACCCTCCCTCTCCTCGCACCTTTGGGCAGGAATAGGGGAGCGAAGCTGCTGGTGTGTGAGAGGTGCACCCAACCCACACCCAGATGGTGCCTGGTCCTCCCTAGCCAGGGTGTGGTTATGCCTGCTGGCTCTTCCCAATAGATTTTAGTCATCTTGCAGCTTCCAAGAAAGCTCCCCTTTCCTGTTGTTGCAATTATCACAGAAATTAGACTATCAGGCCCTGGGAATGCCCCAAATCTTTGCATGTCTGAAGCAGCAGACCCTTTCTGCCCAGGGGCTGTGGGTACAGCACTGAGCTGCAGCCCCCTGGGCCCTGCAGGGACGAGCACTGTCTGTATGTTTCAAAGACACTGTCACCCCACTGGGGTGGGGACATCACCTCTGCCTGGCCAGAGCTGTGCTGAGACCCCTGGGAGGGCTCTGGCAGAGGGATGGAGGAGCAGCACTTCTGGTCTCAGCTTCCCTGGTCCGAGAGCAGCTGTGGTTTTGTTGGAGGAAAAATATTGTCCTTGGCTGAGTTGACAAAGCTCAGTGAGAACAATAAACGCCTGTGCCTCGTGCTGGGGAGTGCCGCCGCAGAGGGACAGATGCCAAAGGTTTGACACTGCTCTGCTTTATTTGAATGTTCATTTTGCTACATGTCCCCATTATTTGCCAGGATGATATTCATGTTGACTTTGCTTTTTAACCAAGTGCTTTTCAAAATGTGTTAACACCCAGAGACTAGAGTATGGAGCTATACTTTAGAAGCTGTTGTAATATGCCTTTTTCTTAATAAAGAGACTGAAATCTGCAGAGGGTGGTAGTGTTCTACCCCAGAATGCAGGACCTGTAGCCACAAACCAGAAGCATCTCTGTCTCCATCCCAGGACTGGCTCCTACCTCACTCCCCCAGAACTCTTCCAGAGTCTGGGGAGTCCTCAGAGTGACACCCCAGTTCTCACAGGGGCCCGCAGGTAGATGGAGGGATCATTATCAGGATCTGGAGTGTGGGGACAAGGGGGAATGGCTTCCCACTGCCAGAGGTCAGGGTTAGATGGGATATTGGGAAGATTCTTCTTTGTGAGGGTGGGGAGGGCCTGGCACAGGTTGCCCAGAGAAGCTGTGGCTGCCCCATTCTTGGAAGCATTCAAGGCTAGATTGGACAGTGACACAGAGAAACAGGAAATAAATTTTTGAATCAGTTTATTCAGTTAGAAAGTTGACGTTATTCAGCACTGGGTACATGGGGGTTTGTTCCACCTGCCATGTATATGGCAATTATCAAAACTTTTAACAATTTATACATTTTAACAAACAAAGGAATTAGTGTTCATTGGCTACAAGTTCCCTTATTATTTAGTATTCTTTATTGGTTAATGGTTCTCCACTTCCCATGCTGATTAGTTGTTCTCTTCTTTTGGGTCAGTTGATTTCTAGCATCAGTGGTCTGTGGGTTGATGGCCATGGACACCCCACCCCTCACTCGCCAGAATTGCCTTTTACCCATTTGGAGCTGATTTCAGCACAATGACTGTGTTAGTTTTATTAGTTATTCCTTATCTTGGGAGTCATGCTAAATGTCCTTGTAGCCCATAAATTCTGCACTCTTTGTGCCCATTATTAGTAGCAACATCCTTCCTCCCAAGCTATGTTAACCTCTTCCCCCAGGTTTTAGATCACTGAATCATGTCAAGCCCTAAACTGTTTTTCTAACACATGGACATCACTTACAGCTTGCTTCTTAGCTGCTATCTGTTTAAGGGATTAAATATCCCTTCTTTTTGATTAGGCTTGAAAGTTACAAAAATCAAACATTAAAAGAACATCCTTTCTTAAGAAAGTTTGTTTGGTTTGAATTTTTGTTTTGTTTTGGTTGGAGTTTTTTGGCTGGGTTTTATTGGGGTTTTTTACCTATCATCAACCATTATTTGCTACAATTAAAGATTTTCCCAACATTTCCCCCCACGGCTGCAGAGACTCCTGTTTCAAGAAATGGAACCTGCTCGGTACCAACGGGGCTCGGAGCAGCCTGCACTACGAGAGGGTGTCCGTGGCCCCGGCAGGGCAGTGGGGCTGCGGCTCCGTTCCGCCCCAAACCGAGCCCCGCTCCCTTCTGCCGCAGGGGCGGCCGGGGCTCCGTGCGGGGCAGCCCCGCTCCGCCCGTGCCACCG